TCCCCCAGCTAGATTAAAACAATATAGACTAACTGAAATAATCCCATACCCTTCATCCTAGAGTCAACCGTCCACTAATTTTCACAAGCACATAAAATAGATAAATCTACACATGTGTAAAACAACCACTTTTCGCCTAAAAAAAAAAGTCTAACTTCATTTTAATTTTTATCAAAAGGACACAGACATGTCTGAAAATTCTAGTTTTTAATATTTTTCTTGCGCTTCTATTTTGTCTAATATCTTAATTTTATGCACTATTTTTCTGTCTTTCCAAATTTCTCTCATTAGCCTACTTTACCTACATTTTGTAAGAAAGCCTATGTTAACAATCTCTCTCTCTCCCACATATAATATATATATATATATAATCACTGTCAACAGAAATTGCCACTGCCTGTTCTTTATGTCTCATGCTACTTTTCCTTGGTATTATTACATTGACTTCATGGAAATGTGAGTTATTTCCCCTTACCCATGATAGTATTTCTGAAGTTTTGGTTATGCACACACAGATTTGTTTGTTACAAAAAAAATAGTCATTCTCTTGTATTTCCATCATTGAGAAATATCATGATGAATTTTTTTTTTAAACTGGCATCATGTTACATTTGATAAAAGCAATAACAAATACTAAGAAATTGCTTAATATCTTATGACAATCCATATTTTTACTGTGGGTTTAATACCCACAGTAAAAATATCAAAGAATCTATTTTGGTATCAGTTTTTATGTAAAATATGAAAATTTAGAAAGTGTAATTTTTTATCTGTCTATATCTTCCCAAGGACACCTGTCCCAGTCGATAAAAGCATTGGATGATGTAATCCAGTGATTTAACCCAAAGAGTTGTGAGTTCAATACCTGGCCACAGCAGAGGTGAACAAAAACTTGGAGAGTTAAATTACTAACGAGAAATAACTGAAACTGAGATATCCAGAAAAGGCATGGCATGTGGAATGAGAATAATCTACTTAAGGGTACATTTCAAAATTCCAATGTATATGTGTTTGTCTTGCCTGGTTTTTGCGTGTCCACACATTGAGAACACTCCTCTTGACTGAGAAAAACACTGGTGTTATATAGCTCTCCCAGTCCCAGACCCATGCTGACTATTGGCTAATACCTGTCCAGTATCGTTCATATGTAAATAGTTTGACTGGGTTAAGTTATTAATTCAAATCTCTTCTTACTGATCTAAAAAAAAGGATCAATACAGTGAGTGTTAATTGTAATTTTTATTAGATGATTTCTAGTTTATTGAAAAAGTCGTCTTTTTATCATTTCACTTCAAATACCCAAGGTTCATTCCATTATATTTGAGATCAGCAGAAACCAGATATCTTATCACTCATTATCATTCAATTGCAGACAAATTATGTCTGTCATTTTAAAAAAGAAAGAAAGAACCTGGCCAGTTGTTGCTTAGTCTGACATATTGATTAAGCAATTAGTTTAACTATTATTCTATGGAATGCTCTTATTAGTAATATTATAAAGAACAAAAGAAATTATGCATTTGCTAAAAATACAATTAAAAAAGCAATAGCATTGTATTGATTTAAAAATAACATTATGTAAAATGATTATTTCTTGACTATTTTCTTCTTAATTCTAATTGCTTATCATTGCAACTAATTGGTCAATGGCCATTAGTTTAAAAAAAAATAAAAAGAAGAAACTTTTTATTTACATTCACCTGAAAAGTTCCTTGTTACTAACATTCTCCATTCATAGTATTCTCAGCATCTTTCTGTAGAAATGCATCTCTGATGCCTTAAATCTCTTTATCTGTGAGTTATCCAGCATTCACTATCATATAGGAGGACTGATGTTGCACAGTAGTTGAGCACTTTTCTTTGTTACTAACAAAATCTTCCTGTTTGCAAATATAGATAACCTTTCAGCAAGAATCAAGTTCAAATCCATTTTGTCTCAATGAAGTCTGGTTAAAGACCCTTGCTGTTTTTACTTACTGAACTATAAGAATTCTATAGCTTCCTAGAAGATCAAAATTAACCTTTAAACTTACTCTTCATTATTCTTATCTCTCTCAGTGCCATATTATCCTTTGTTTCCAACCTGCACTTAATTCCCTGCTGTAGACAGATGGCTTGAGGAATAGATAATAGGAGTAGATAGGTTTGCCTATTGCCCAGTTCACACACCTCCCTGGTCTTTCGAACTTTAGTAGCAGTGTATCCCTTGTTTCCTGCTTAGAATTGTCTATTCACTCTCTTTAGCCCCCTTTCATCTTAGTGGTATTATCACCTTCATTCGGGTGAATTGATTAATAAAAATATAGTTGCAATTAATATCAACTAAAAAATTAAGATGACAAAACACTAGTCAAAAATTGATAACAATGGTTAACAATGCTTCATCGAATTGCAAATAAAAATACTCTCTCAGTGAGGCGAATACTCATATTTCTCTCTTGTAATGGCTGCTCTACCCCTTGAGCTACAAAAGCCTTCAGCTGACTTTTAAAGTTACTCTTCATTTTCTTTTGATTTCTTGACATTGTACTCGTTATTTTTACTAATGGTTGTAAACTGATGGCCTGAATAATTGTGGAACAGCAACTAAAATTAAGATTAAAGAAATGGTCAAAAAATGTTAGCAGTAAGCAAAAAGAAACTATAGGAACTCCTATGACAGAAGTTAGTAAAAGAAAGTAAGAAAAAAAGACTAACCATCAATTGTAAGAAGATAGTAGATATAGTTGTCACCAAGAGGAACAAGACAAAAACTATGAATTGGAGGTTGAAAAAGAAAGTGAGAACAAAGAACTAACCATCAGTTGTAAGAAGACAGCATATATGATTGTCAGTAAGAGGATCAGCTCAAGATGCAAACTGCAATTAAGAGACCCCAAAATCAAGCACAAAAGCTTAAATATCTAAAGAGTGCTTTAACAGAGGATGCAATATGTGACACTGAAACCTGAAGATGCAGGAAAATTTTGTTACAAAGAAAGCAGCGCTGAACTGTTATGTAATATTGGTCCTTCTATATGGCAGTGAATGCTGGACAATTCCCTCACAGATGAAGAAGACTAGCAACAGAAATATGGTTTCTTCAGAAGTATACTAAGAATACCATGGACTGAACATGTGAGTAACAAGGAAGTTTTAAGGGAATGGAATAGAAACAAAAGTAAGTCACAGCTGAAACACCTGGGGTATATAATGGGGAAAGAGGACTTGAAGAATCTGACACTCACATGATGTAAGCAAGAGAGACAGAGGAGAGCAGTGAATAACCTACCTAACAAGCCTTTGTAAACAGTTGGCAGAACAGGAATAGCAAAAAGACAAACCTTACTAAAAGCTACAAAAGACAGGTAGTTGTGAAGAACCATGATCACCCATATCCTAAAGGGATGCAGCACATAGATGATTTAATGAAAGAGCAGGACTCCTTTTTTCTTTTTCAAAATTTATCAAAAAACATTTATCTTATTCTTATAAAGAAGGTTGTATAAAAGATTCTTTCTTAAATTTAGTAATCAGAAATTTATTTAAATTATATACAGTTGAACTAATGTGAATAACAACAACCTTTGTTATAATTATGTTTCAGCCATTTTGCCCTCCAACCTTCATCAGGGAATTTCAATCTGAACCTTTCATTTTCATCTGTTCTCCTTCTGTTGTCCATGTCTAGGAACGTTTCATCTTGTTCAAATTTAGCACAGCTCTGTGATTGCTAGTCCTGTTTCCATTGAGTCTGTACTGTCCAACTCGAGGTTTAAACTCAGAAATTTGCCACTACACAAAGCTTTATGAAGTGATACTTTTTACATTCAACACTTGATATTCTCAAACGCTGAGCCATTTGTTACTGACCAAATACAATAGTGTTTAAGTATACCAAACAATTATTTATAATTGTTAAGAAAGTTTAACTTAGTTCTGCTGTAAGTATATAGAATTTAACTTACTAATAAGTAGGAATGAGTTGCTAAACTAATTTGCTACAGGACAATGGCCTAGTGGGTAAAAGCATTGGTTTGTAAATTTGGGGACATAGTGATTATGAGTTCAATCCCTGGGTCGGGCAGTGTGTATTTGCACTTGCTGGAAACAGGTGAGAACTGAACAGTACTAAGTAAAAATAAGAATTAGACAATATCCCTAGCAGTGGAACAAGAAGAGTCTACCACCATAGATTAAATAAAGGGTTCACTTCGAAATTCCCTGTGAGTGAGAGGGCACAATGGCCAAAATGCTGTGATTAAAAATAACAAAGATGAGGAAAATAGTCCAAACATAAATAGTGTAAATAATGATAACTTCTCATCCTAGAAATCCCGGATTACCATTATCCCATATTGTCACAACCATCAAGCACTAATAAAATGTCGGCATGACACAGCAATAAATATTTCACAAGAAAAGAGATGGTGATGTTTTTAGAAGATATCAGTTTGGATCAGTGAATTTGAAATTCCTTTCAGGTTATGATAAATACTGTAATTGAGTTTGTATTCATTGTCCTCATGTTGCACCCCAAATTTTGAATTATTAGTTTGTGGATACAAAAGCTTACATCCCCCTTTCTTTCTTTTTTTTTTTCTTTTTAATTAAAAATAAAATATTGGAAATTTTTGCACATACTTTATAAATAATTGTATAAAATTTCTTTTGATATTTAAAATGGCAGCAGTTAAAATCACTTGTGTTTTTATTACAAATATTTGCATAGTTCACTTTTCAGCAACCATTTGAGGTAATTAATAAAATTATGTTTCATGAGAGCAGTTTTGGAAGTAAGACCCACTGTAAATCATCCTGACTCAGCCAATACAACTTCAGATTTTAATGTTCGCTGCCTCTGCTTCATAATAACTTTGCAGTGAATACTGTTATATTTAGAAACAATTTTTTTTTTAATACATCTTATAAGCTGCCAAATAGTAATTTTTTTCAGCTAGTGTTTAAAAAATAGTTCAGATAAGAGTTACATTGCTCACCAGCTATGTTTGTTGTTTCAGGATGTCAAGTCAACAGAAGCCTTTTGTTACAGAAGCTTAGTACAGATACCCCGCCCTCACAGAATGGGTAAGTTGACAAAGAGCTGCTTGGCACAGTGATGATTTCTTTTGACAGAAGCACCTCCTGATCAGATATCATTTTTCTTCTGGATGTGACCCAAACATTCTTTTCTTAACCTATTAACTTCAAATAATCATATTCTGCTTGTTTCTTCATTTCTTACTTAGTTAGTATGTGCATTACACCCTGCCAATACCTCATAAATAATGGATTGTTCCATTTTGATTGCAAGGAAATACAGAAAAGACAGAGAAAAAAGAAAGAAATAGAGGTGATAATGCTCTCGCATGTTTAATGTCTGCTTCAGTAAAATGGAAAAGTTTGAAAACCTTTCATTTGTACCCTCTTACTTTAAATAATGACCTGCGTTCATACTTGTTTTAACCTAGGAAAGGTTAGTGAATAGAATAATCACATGAAGTTTGGTAATGAACGATAATACTTAGAACAAGAACAACACAGATTCACCAGTGGCACGTAGAAGTAGTAGTCAACTGCTAGAAGTGAGTCAAGTGAATTCCACAATGAATCTCCAACTGCAGGATATCTACCAACTGTTCCACATGGTCAGATGTGACACAAAGCCAAATTTAATGTGGGGTATCTAAGCCCATAGGCTCAGACAAAAATTCCCCTGTACCCTGTATAAAACAATCAGGTAGCTGTTTCTCGAGATGAGACTCTGCCCTTCGACATAGCTTCGTCTGGGGGATCCTCTCTGTCCGGAAACAGAGACTTTGATGAATCTTCAACTGCAGACCAAAATACAGTATTTACTACTGTATTTATGTGAATGGGGTCATACCCATTATTGTCCATAGGTATGCTACAAGAATAACTTATGATTGTTATTACATTCCTTGGTTAAAACTGTTAAGCTCAAATGTTTACTGATGCAATAGGAGTATTTCTATGGGTATTTTGTAGTTGTTGAACTTGCAGTGAGCTTATTTATTCATCAAAAAATTGAAACAGGAAAACTGAAATTTTCACAAATCCCTGCTAGTGGGAATTAATGGATTAATCACATGTTCACATTTTAACCAATTGGAGATTTCTTTTTCTTCTCAAGCAAAGTTTGCTGTTGAAAATTTAAATGGAAAAAAATGTCACTTTTTTTTTTTTATTTAACCCTTTATATCTGCATTTGCTTTATTTTTTTATCACTTCCATCACTAGCAACAGATTGTTCTGAATAGCTTTCAGCAAGAGTTTAAAAAAAAAAAAGAACAGATTTTGCAAAAATATCAAAGTTCTTCAGAAGCATATGCATGCCTCTCATAACCACAAAACAGAGACAGTTTGTTTTTTACTGATGGCTATTAGAAGATGATAGATTCAGTTTTTCAACACCATACAACTAGACAAAGGAACAAATATAGAATATATAGGTCAAACATAACTGCATACAAAGATATGAGTTAGTTATACAAAATATAATCAAAATATGTCTTATTACTATAAACTTTATTTTTAGTGCGTACACATGTTTGAGTTGACATCTCTGTTTTTTTTTTTTCTTTTTTTAATTTCTTAAACAGTGAAATTAATATCAACTGGCCTAGATCTAGAAGTCCTGTTAAAGAAAAATCTGCCTACCAACAGGAATCAAACCTCTCAACTCAAACATGTGTACCCATAAAAATAATCTTTATAGTAATAAGAAATAATGCCAGATATTTTTTAAAAATCCATTTAAATATTACTGTTTACATATACAAAAAAAAAGCTAACAGATACAGATTCAAAAAGTCCTAACAAGAGATGCGCATTTCTAAAGAAGGTAATTGAGCCATGCCATATCATGCCAGTCTCTCGTGACTTAATTAGTAAGAGTGCAGTTTGACTATAGGAGTGGTTTCCCTAAAAGAAAAAGGGAATACAGGTTCGATTGGGAGGCATATTTTTCTTTAGTAGGACTTCTCAATCCAGGCTGGTTGATATTAATTTTACTGTTCAATAAATTAAAAAAAAAAAAAACACAGGCATGACAACTCAAACATGTATTTACAAGCCTTAGGGAAATTGGTACATGTGAACTATAAGGAGCATCAGTCATTTAAACATGTGTCTTTCTCTTCTTGTGTCACAGAGAAAAATGCCATTTTTGGACAAGAAATCATTGTAGATGAAAAAAAGATTTATTACAAAAATCTAAAACAAAGAAAATCATTGTTAGATGCAAGACAGCTTTCAACATCTTAGCCCAAATGGAATTTACTGAAGAAAAAAGTTGTTTATGTTTGGTGAGATTTGAAGAGATGTCTTTAAGAATTTCAAAAACTGAGACAAACAGTTACTGTTTGAATATGATATATTTGAAGAGAAAAGGCCTTTCTTCTTGCCAAGGGAGTCTGGCACATGTGACTCAGCAAACAATAATGGAGCTAGGATGGGAAGTTCTTCCACATGCTGCAAATACTCCAGGCCTGTCACTTTCAGTCTATCACTTGTTTTGCTTCTTACGGCATTCCTTGCCTGCGCATCACTTCCAACAAGTTCTAGATACCAAAGAATTCAACCCAAAACTAGAATCATTCCTTTTGATAATTACTCACCACTCCATAATGGCAGGATATGGCACAAAATTGATTTAATGTAGGGTGCCCATGTCTGTGGGATAAGGATGAAAATAGCTCAGTCCCCATGGCGCCACATTGACATCTACAAATCCTTCCTCTTTAGTACAGTGGGAGAGTTGCTGCTCCAGAACCAGGCATCCTTCATTGCTGAATCATGAACTACCCAAGAGCAGAAACATGAAAAACATAAAAGACACTACATACTAATCCCAGCCAAAAATGCTGATGACATGCACAATTTAACTGAAAGGTGGTGTAAAGTCTGTTATATACTGCTGCAATTAGATCTCTTTCTGATTCATTCTACATGTTGGCTGAATGTGAACGCCAAGAAGGCAGAACACAAAATAAAAAATTTGTTTTCTGTGCATAGGCTCCAAGCATCACATCAAGTCCACAAAGCAAACCCCGGCAATGAAAGTGATACAGTGTCCAAATTGCAAACATTCTCACTGGAAAAGGAGATGACCCTGGGGACTGCCAGATCTGCTTAAAAAAGGCCTCTCATAATGACCAATGCAGTCAATGTGACTGCTTCTCTCAACACAACCATTACCACTCTCAGGCTTCACTAATCTCACCCAACTTTTCATGCACAGAATGCTGTCAACCATCGAGCTTTGACACCATCAGGCTCCCAACATCCACCACTGTGGTTTATAACATCACACATGGAATGCAGCCCAGAATTTGACACTGCCAGCCTCCTGACACCAACCACGGATTTATAACACCTCAACATTGTCACCACCCATCTACAAGCCTTCTTTGTCATCCCCTTGACAACCCAATTCACTACTGGCATACCCTCATAGTGAAACATTCCACCACAGGCCTACCATCTATACCTAATCCCTCATTGACACTACTGTTACCTCGGCAATCCAACTTGCTACAGGTATACTCTCGCAGTCACCACCATGACTCCGTTTTGTTGATACATCAACTTAACATTCCACTACAAGCCTACCAACTACACCCAATCCAACATTGCAACCATTTTCACCTCAGCAACCAACACACCCTACCACGAATCAACCTACCACAATGACATCAATCAATCAACACATGCATTGAACCCAACCTACAACTAAATCCACTCTGGATCTATCCTCTGACCTCAGCTAAACTAACCCAAAAAATCAATCAACTCCCAGCACTACCCTTACACCTAATCATTTTCCTGACGATCAGGGACCAATTTTCTAACAACTGTAAATATATTCTGTATATTAAATGAATACACACTGTTTGAAAATCTAATCCTTGTTATTCCTTTCCTTTTACAACCAAACGCTCATTATAACTAGTCATAGAAATGATTGGAAAGTATGATAGCATGAATTTATATGGACAAAAGACTTTTTCAAAAAATGCTGGAAATCTTTGCATCAACCTCTTAAATACGTTTTTTTTTTTGTTTCCCTTTTTCTGAAACTGTAATAATAGTAAGACAACTGCCTTTATAATTTATAAGTGCTGTTTTTAATGCCTTCATTATGTAAGGAGTCTGTATGCTATTTTGCTGCTTGGATTGAGAAATCGGAGAGCCAAGTTTGATTTTTCCAGTTAAGTTCATTACATTCACTTATGTATTAATATTTTCGGAAACATATGAATCCAACTCTTTTCCCTATCTATGGATAAATAGTAGGACAGACTGGGTTCTATAGCCTTGTGTGGCAATCAGTCTAGGAGGAAAAAAACTCTGGATTCAAAACTATATGCAGCCCTGGCGAAGCACATACTATTGAGCTAAGGAATGGATCCTTTACATTGACTTGATGATTCCAACTACAATCGACTGCTTTTTTTTTTCCTTTCTTTTTTTTCATTTTGTATTTTGTGGGATTAAAATTGGGTGCCAAATAAATGTGCCCTTTCCTTGCTTTAAATTTGGGAATTTTTTTCCCCAACTCCCTCATGAAGCATATTCAGACCCCCAAACTTTAATTTGGGAATTTTTTTTTCTTATGGACATTTATTTATATTGTAACATTGACAAGACTTCATGGAAATATTTGTAATTTTGTTGAAGCATTTCACTTAAAGACATTAATCGACATCTATTTTTAATTTCATTACTTCAAGGTCTTGTTATAGTGTGAAAACTTGTTTTTAATCATTTCCTAACTCCACAACCCATTTATTGAATCCTGCTATTTGTTAGATGTTCTTATTGTTCTTCCTCCATTTATTATATTTGTTGATTATTTTCAGCCTCCCACAATTTATCATGGTCCCCAAATTTTATTTAACATCTGAGAGTAATCCAGGTTTTTTTAATAATAAATCAGGCAGATATCTACTTGTATTTATATATTTATGATCATCAGTCGTGTGCTTTCCAGTCGTAATATTGGAGTGTATCAAAAGTATTTTCATGCTTTAATCAATTGTACATATTTTGAAGGTTGCATAATACTCAACATATAATATTTTTCAATGATTGCCAGCATCTCAATAATTGTGTTTACCATTATAAAATCTGAAACCAAAAAAGTGTGCAGTAGAAATACTTCCCACATAATGGTAAGACATTAGTGGTAATGGTGTCTTCATTTAACTAATGTCTTACCATTAAGTTGGAGGTATATCTGCCGCATCCTGTATAATTGAATGATATTGATAATGATATCATTATATATTACTTATTACTATAAATATTATGTTTAGTAGACACATGTATTCACATAGATATCCCTGTTTTTTAGTTTGTGAAATTAATGTCTACTGGCCCAGAGATTGAGATACCTTTTTTTAAGATAAGTGTACCTTACCATTAGGCCACAGGAAGCTATCATAGCAAAGCAAGGCTCAATTACTCTACTTAAGAAAGGCACATCTCTTGTTAGGATCTTTTGAAGTCCATATTTGCTAACTTTATTTTCAGAAAATATAAGCAAAATATATTTTAAGTGTTATATTTAGTGAGTACACATACTTGAGTAATAAGAAATTTGTTAAATTAAAAATAGCAAGTACATGTTACTCACTAAATAATGCTTATTGCAATAATATACATGAGTAAAATTTGGATGAGAATATGACCGAATGGCAGATATATAAAACAATTTGGTAAACTTCTATTTTGACACATTTCACCAATGAATCAGCATTATCACAAAAATATAATACAGTGAGACAAATCATGATTCACATTAAATGGCTGAATGCTTGATTTTTACTTTGTGTCATGACAGAAATTAGATTTTTAATGGAATGGTCTATGATTTATCTGAGGTAATGGCAGTATGTAACATATGTGCTAACTAAGAGACTAACAGAGGAATAAACAGAATTCTAATATAATGTGTTTATATTTAATGTGTACATGTTTTAGCAGACCTCGCAATTGTCCTTAATAGTAGAATTACTGTCTGCTGGTCTAGAGATTAGGAGTTTATGGAATCCTCCATACTTGCCTGTCACCCTCTATGGAAAGATGCACTCTTCCCCAAATTAACCTTTAACCAATCATCACTTTTCCAGACTCAACATCCCATTGGTTAAAAGGACACAAAAATGTAGCAAGTTGAGACAAATCCTTTTTTTCTCACGCAGCTGTCTGGAGCCTATTTGAAAACCCAAAAATTTATATAAAAAAAAAAAAGAATCGCTCAACTTAATTCAAGTCAGTCAGACACTGAGTTTCAAGAGATGCCAGAAGACTCCACTGACTCAATAACACTACCAGCCTCTCATCAACACAACTCAAATCACACTACTATTGCCGCGTGAAGAAACTTAACTCAAAATTTACTAAAAAAGTGACATTATCACTACAAAATAGTAATTGAACATTTAATCAGCTTTAGCATATCAGTCAAAGGTACACAACTCTGCATAACTTGAATGAACACTTACAACTGTCACACACATATGCACTATTATTTGAACTCACACAATTGACATTTTACCTTGCAGAAATCAAACTGTTTTAATTTCACAAACTTAAACCATCAACATTCATTCACCAAATCTCTGCATGGACATTCTTTGCAATCTTAACTCACTTGCCACATTTAACAAGTAACCTATCATCACTTTGTGTATGTCAAATATATATATAAATTCATGTTATTGTTGAAATCTCTAACTACATTGTTTTTCCTTGATTTCTTCAACTTTAATTGTCTTCATATGTTCATTTAATTTGTTTGTTGTGGATAAATGCATAATGTACATGCACTTTTAAGGCCTTCACACAATTTCACCTTCTGATACATCTTACTTAGCATAAATTCTGCAACAAGTTGAACTAAACAAATAAATTTCTTGACAGGAATTAAACCTGTATTTTTTTATTTTATATTTTTTTTTTTCTTTTTTTTTTTTTTCAGGAAAGCCAATTTTAAGCTAAGTGTGCCTTACCATTATGACATAAGAAGCCATCACAGCAAAGTGATGCCCAATAACAGTATTTAAGAAATGCACATATCTATATCTGCTAACTTTATTTTCAAATTCAAAATGTAAACAAAATAATTTCTAAGTAATTAATGGATATTTTTAATCCAATACATTTCTTCTTATTACTATATGCGATAAAATGTATTACTATATTATTACTTTCATCTTCATTCTGGGTATCAATTGGTTCAACCGGGTCACCAATGCCGTAGTTTCACCCATTCCCAGTTATCCAGCCTATACACCCTTCTCCAACAGCGCCAGCTATGCTGGCTTAGACATGTACACCATATGACAGATAGGAGGATTCCAAAGCTCCTTCTGTACAGGGAACTGGCCAGTGGCATGAAGGCAACTTCCTCTTTGCTTCAAGGATGTCTGCAAAAGGGATATGAGGATGATGGACATAGACGTCAAAAGGTGAGAAGACATCACCAACAATCACTGATACTTGAGATGCAATTTACACCGAGGAGAGGAGAAATAAAGACTTGCTGCTGGGGAGAAGCGTGCTCAATGGAAAGAAAACAAGGCATCATTGAGGGAGAGTGTCTTCACATGCATTCATTGCAGTCAAGACTGTCACTCCTGTGTGGACCTGTACAGCCATAACAGATGCTGTACCAGCATCAGCATCTGAGGAATCACTCTTTGAGCACAGATCCAAGGTTTCTCAAGACTGACGGATGCCACGCACATAGTAATAATATTAATATAGTGGATTCATAGTCTTTAGATGTGTACACAAAATAAGCTTTAGAGTAAAAGTCTGTTAAAAAATTAACATTATTTTGATACACCAATTCTATTAAAACAAGTAAAAAAAAAATAGTTTTTTCTTTTACTTTCCCAATTTTATGCAGGCCTTTCCGAGGGGAAAATGGAGGTAAAGGTGCAGCTCCTCCACCACATGTGAATCCTGATGATGCAGATGAAGAATTAAGAGAGAAAATATTCCGTGCCTCACTTATGTTTGTTTCGAAACATGGTTGGACTCAAAAAACTTTGTCTTCAGGTATAAAAAAAAAAAATATAATGGAAAGTCTTCTATAAGGAGACACAAATTACTGTTCTTTATTGAACTTACATTTGATGTTGTAAAAAATTGTTAATGATGTCAAATGTTTTAAATAAGTATTTTCAATTATGGTGTTTAGATGCTCTGTATATTTAAATTGCATTTTGAAAATCTGAAAAATTTTCAAATTAAATTATTTAACCTCCTTAAATTATAACAGTGTTTATAATTAGTTGTTTACATAACCTGTGATATCATAACCTGTGATATCATAACCTGTGATATCATAACCTGTGATATCATAATTTTCATTCCAACTATAATAAGATACACACACACACACACACACATCTACCCAATTTCACTCACAGGGTTTGGGTCACCTCATATGGTTTCAGGCATTTCCCAAACAGTACCACACGTCACTGGGGTCGTCTCCTCAAGCTAATATTGTCAACAAGTCACCTCCTTGATAAATTAACCCTGCTGAGATTTAAACCTGGGTATCATGGGTGGAATGCTAAAATTCTAACCACTTGATCCTTGTGAGTGAAATTAGGTAGATGAAAATATTCAGAAGCCTTTGATGGTTGTCACAAGTCATCATGACCAAGGACTTGAGTGTACTGACCTTGTTCAACTACTGATCTTGCCAGATTGCACAATCTTACCCAGATGCTATATCTAAGGTCCTCTCAGCATAGTTTGATTCAGTAGGTATTGAAAAAACACAAATGTGCCTGAGCAGGCATCTGCAACAAGGACTAGCTAGTTAATCTAACAGACTGGTGTACTCAGAAACAAGCATCCAGTCATTACTTTATATATGTGTCCAGAAGGGGACTACTGAACAAAAAATTTGGGGGTAGGGGAAGAGATTCTTGGTAGGCTGAAAACTTTTCAGCATCTACTTGTATATATTGTATGACAGCTAAAATAAAGACAAAAAACTCAATCAGATACCATAATTTTCATAGTATATATTTATTATATCATTTCATAAAAATAATTAAAAGTATTGACAATTTAATACTCATTTCTTGCTAGAAAATCTTTAGAAAGTTTACATTTTAACTTCTCCTCATAGAAGAATTTGTTATATCCCACTGTTAGTGAGTCTTTATGCAAAGTGGTGAAAACTCCTTCATGACTGCAAGTAAATGAAATTCACCATAGTAACATTAGTATTTAAAAGTAGAATTTCATAATTTAACCACTAATTTTGATGTATTTATTTATTTTCAATTTTTTAAATAAAGTTTGTCTTACTACTCAATCTGTATATGCATTGAAAATCAAGAACAGGATTGTTCTATTACAAATAGAATATGGTTACTATATGCATAATTCTTCATTGTTAATTCTATTATAAATAAATAATCCATTAGTTACTTGCATCCAATGATACAGATGCACTTTTCCTTTGTGTAGAAAAACTATTGTATATTTGGGAAGATGATGCTTCATCAGATTCTGTGAACTGGTGGTACAAAATTTACAAATAAAGATCTAGACCAAATAACAACAACAACAAAAATGGATAGCACTAACTAGAAGAGAAAATGATATAATCAAGATGTTAACTTTTCACATTACCATAAATCAAAGTCTTGGAAAAAATTCCCATTGATAATACAAAGAGCCATAACTGGGCTTGAGAACCATAATTTTTCTGAAAAACTTTTATAAATTTCAACCAACACTAATACTATTTGGTCAATGAATGCCAAATGTTTCTTGGTTGGAAACAGTTAATTTCACTAGTACCATTAGCACATACACACATGTCATTTATGTCAAATGAATTTATATATTTAATTTTTTTTTCTGTTTATGAATATTGGTAAGGTGCTGAGTCTTTGGGTTTACCAAGTGTCGCCCATGGAATGTTTCCAAAAGGAGGAGTAGAACTGATTAATTTCTTCTACCAAGACTGCAATGCTCAGTTATCAAAGCAATTGGCCCAGAAAGTTGAGGAAAACCGTGAGTTGGAAGACAGGTAAGAAATAAATACGTTTGATTGATTGATTCATTTTCTGCAGCTTATCAGCTCTTTGCAGGTTATTTAAAGCCAGAAAATATTTTTAGAGTGTAAGATTTTTCTTTTTTAGATAATAATCGTTTTGTGATGCAAGTCTTACTAATTAACCCAGACAGAGCTGGGGAAGAAGAGGTGGATTCATACATTCCTAAAGAGTATTTGTGCATAACTGAATATAATGAACCCAATGGGAATTGGAACTCTGCTCTCTGTTTAACAATTCCAAGCCATTATCCTTTACACCACTCACATGTCCAAATTTACAGCACTTGGTATCCCCAAGTGGTCACCTATCTAGGTACTGACCAAGCTCAATGTTGCTTAACTTTGGTGATCGTATGAAAACCAGTGTTTCAACATGATGTGGCCATATAAAACAGATACAGTAGCAATATTCTATCTGCTGGTTCAACGCCTCTTGGAGTGCATTAATCAATATTTTGTTTTTTTGTAATCATTTCATCCCAAGCAAGGTACTAAAGCCACTAAGATGAAAGGATTTAATGAGTATGAAAAAAAGAAAACATTATTAAGGAGAGAACAATAAAAAAAAAAAAACAGGAATTAAAACAAAATAACAAATGACATTGCATTTAAATTTTTGAAGATCAAAGTTGATTGGAAGGCAAAAAGCCAGAAGAGAGTTCTACAAATGAGAAGTGTGAGAGAAGAAATGGTTAGCATAGAACTTAGTTTCATCTCACCATTTCTACTTCTACTGTAAAATGATGAGACCTTTTCAGTAATCTAGTACTGTACTTAAACTCATAAAGTTTTGGTACCAAAGGGGGAAGCTCATCAGAACAATTACCATAGAAAAGGCACAGAGAAGCTATTATCAATAATTTTTTCAACTGATTTCTCACTAAATAGCTGATATTTGGTAAGAATAAAAAAAGAATCAAGTTTAAAGCTCTGCGATGTGATATCATTTAACATCTAACAATATTCACCAAAAAGTTGTCGTTAGAAGGAACTTAATGATGGTAATAATAAAAATAGAATCTTTTTTTTTGTTTTTTGATCATTTCACTCCAAGCAAGGCAATAAGACCACTAAAATGCAAGGGATTACTGAGTGTTAGAGAGTATAAGAAAAAATACTGTTAAGAACAGAGAACAATAAAAAAAAAAAAACAAGAATTAAGAAGACAAGATAATGATTGACATTGCATTTAAATTTTTGAAGATCAGAGTTGACTAGAAAGCAAAAAGCCAAAAGAAAGTTCCACAAGTGTGAAGTGTGAGAGAAGAAACTGTTAGCATAGAACTTACAGTTACATCTACCCAGTTCAACTGTAAAATGATGAAACCTTGTTGCTAATCTAGTAATGCACTTAAATTCATGAAGTCTAAGGACTATAGATGAAAGTTCATCAGAACAATTACCATGAATGTATTTATAGAAAAAGGACAGGGAAACTATATTATGTTGGTGAGAAAGTGACTAAATCAAGATGCCAGGTTAGGACCAATAACATTACAGACTTAAAGAATTAAAAAAAATAAGAATAATTTTATGGAATTTTGATATTAAATAAGTCAGAAGACCAACTCCAATCATGATAAATAAGAAAATTTGTCATGTACTGAGTTTTGTTGTTCTGGAAGATCACAGATGAAAAGTTAAGTGTTAGGAGTCCTTTGACTTAACTGAGTTTAGAAGTTCATTAAGTTTTACATAATTACAATGATTGGATCTGTGATAGATTCCATGTTTTTTTTACTATCTGGGTATATAAAGTCATTATAAATGAGATTGTTTTATTCATTTTCTCATACACAGGGATATGTGGATTCATACCTTTTCTAAACAAAAATGGGCATAAACACTTGCTGGAAATTAAACTGATTCAATTTTCTTTGTTGATAACTTCTACAATACTGTATCTTCAATATAATTACTGTATTGAGATTGTTAGCAACACTGACCTGCGCAATCACTGAAATTTTCGTACTGATCTGCGCAATGTAAACAAACTGGCGCCATATTTGTTATCAGCATCAAATATCAAATATTAGAAAAAAAGTTATCTCGATAATAATTTGGCAAGCAGTGTATATTACTTTAGACTGTCTAATAAATATTTTCAGCTTATGGCCCAAGAACTATAATAACATTCTTTATTTCTGAAACCATAACCTGTTTTTTGGAAGAGTTAAAATCTTTGAGAGAATCTACACTCAACTAAAAAAAAGAAAAAAATTTTCAAAATCACTTTGTATGATTAATAATTTAACATTCAATAATTGTTGAAGAATTAACTCTTAAATTTTTAATTATTATATTAAGTGTATGTTTATTTTATCCAATTTTTCCATTTCCAGCACAAAACCATCAACTCGGACATTCATACGTGAAGCTGTTCAAGCACGTCTTCATATGTTGATCCCCTATATAGAAAAGTGGCCACAGGTCAGTAATAAGCAGGTTTTGCAAAACATCATATTCATGATTTTGACTTTGCATAATTCTTTTATTCAGTACAATAGGTTGGAGAATTTTTTCAATAAATCTGATACAATGATTTGTCATATATATATAAATAAATAAATTGATTTAAAATATGGTTTTTCCACTACACAGTTAATTTCGTAATTAAATTAAAGACATTAGTTCCATTTCATCCTCAAGCGAAATTCGCTTGAGGATGAAATGGGACCTTCCATTTTTGAAACATGGTTAGAACTGTGTAGCGGAAAAACCATATTTTAAATCAATTTATTTATAATAATAATGGTCTGTAAATTTACATTGAGCACTATTTTGTAAAAATAAAAATATCTATAAGAACACTGGATTATATATCTTACTGTTCTTTCTTTTTATTTATATATATATATATATATATATATATATATATATATATTACAGTTAAAAGGTTTGAGGTCAACCCCTGGTAATTTTTTTGAATTGGCCCAAAAAGTAGTTGTATTGTATTTTAAATAAGAGAAAATTATTATACATGGTTAAAAAAAAAAAAAGTGAGACATGATTTTTTATTAGAAATTTAATTATGAAAAAAGAAAAAAAGCATTTTACGATTAAATCTTGTTCTCATCAAAATATCCTCCTTTAGCCTCGATTATTGCAGCCTAAATTTTTAGCATTCATTGGAAAAGTTTTACAAAGTATAAGTTTGATAATTGATTCTATTCTTTTTTCAGTGACTAAGAACTCTTTTACATTTTTTTTCACTCTTCCGTCAAGTTCATCTGATGCTAATTCTGAGGGTGGCTTCAAACTTTTAAACTGTAGTGTGTATATATATATATATATATATATATATATATATATATTTAGTTGGATAGATGCGAGTTTGTGACCTGGGTTTCACGCTTTAGCGATCATCCGACAAACTGATCAGTTTGTCTGACGATCGATAAAGCGTGAAACCCAGGGTCACAAACTCACATCTATCCAACCAAATATGTTAGCTCTATCTCTGATATTGAGCACTTTCTAATAAGTACCGCTCATATAATATATAAATAATTATACATATATATATTTATTTATATTTTATATACACTTTTCATATATATATATATATATATATATATATATATATATATATACACACACACACATACATGTAATGATATAACAGATCCCTTTCTCAACTTTCACTAACTGGATAAATAACTTCATATTGCATCTCTGTTCTTATTCATGTTGGTGGTATGCACAACAACTGGGAAAGGTCCATTGTACAAGAAAAGAAAAGGTGATAATTAAGAACACATTGAGAAATGAAGGCTCAAATCTTGTTTCCAATATGATTGTTTACTCAGAGATTCACTTGCATGGTCTGGGTGTGTGGCTACATGATACTTGGGACAACTTCTGTCATGACAGACTACAGATCAGTTTTTCCCTTCAACCAACAAGAATTCTATCTCCCCTACCACCTCTCTGACCATCTTTACATCATGATGTATGGCTTCAGAACTTCTCAGCAGACAGCCTGCACCCACCAACAGGCAGCTCAACACTATTCCTAATCCTAACTGTGTCTGTTTATATAAGAATGTGAACAGTAATAGTAATATTAACTGTTTCCTTATATATGACTAGCTGCTGAAAAAAAAAAATCTTTCTATTAAAACAATTTTTCAGAAAAATAAAATTCTCCAGTAATTGTTATTGCTCTCTCCATTACTGCTGAGGTTTTTTCCTAGCCTTTTGTTTGAAGTAGTGTGGGTTTTTCCATTATTTTCTCTTTGAGTTACATGTGATATCCATTTTAATTGTTGTTGCTTATTCAAAGTCCTCAAGGGATGTGGTTTCTGCTATTTGCTACAGTTCTTTATTTGTGATTCTATAGCAACAGCCCACGAGGTACAAAGAAGACCTATAGGCTTCATTTGATCAAACTTCTTTGCAATCATTGATCAAAGAAAGTGGTTGTATACAGCGAAAAGTTTAGACATTTCTAAATGAGTTTGGCACCATGACTACATCTACATCTGATAAGACTATTTAATAACATGACTTAAGTTTTTAGGTTAATGTTTTCGTTTTGTAGCAATTTACAATGTAGACCTTATGAATTTAAGTGCAGAACTAGAATGACAACAAGGTGTCATCATTTTACAGTTGAATTGGCTAGATGTAACCATAATTTCTATACTAACAGTTTTTTTCTCACACTTCTCACTTGTGGAACTCTCTTCCAGCTTCTTGTTTTCCAGAAAAATTTGATCTTCAAAAATGCAATGTCAGTTATCATCTACAGTCATCCCAATTACTCTTCTGTTACTCTTCAGTAATTCTTCTGTTTTCTAATTCTCTCACAATAATCCCCTGTGTCTTTACTGCCTCACATGGGTTGAATTTGATTAAAAATATTGAAGTATTTGGTATTTACCAATTCCACAATCTGAATTTTTAATTCCAGATTTTTAGGACAGCTGCTAAGAAATTATATTATTCGAGGCAATTATTTTCTCCAGAATCGATCTTACATGTCTATGTCTACTATTTGTGCATGCTTAGAATATTGCTGCCACATATGGTCCAGTGCCCCTGCTATTTATCTTGAGCTCCTTGATAAAATTCAAAGAAGAATCAGTAATATTATTGGTCCTGGTCTGGCAGCTCGGCTTCAGTCACTTTCCCACCGCTGAAAGGTTACCTCTTTGTGCCTTTTCTATAAATACTTTCATGGTAATTGTTCTTCACTATGGTACCTAGACTTTAGGAATTTAAGCACAGTACTAGACTGGTGTAAATCTCTCATCAGTTTGTAGTTGAGCTGGCTAGATGTAGCTATAAGTTCTATACACTTTTCGCACTTTTCGTTTGTGGAACTCCCTTCTGGCTCCATGCTTTCCAGCCAACTTTAATCTGCAAAAATTTAAATGCAATGTCAATTGCTATCTACTGTCCTCCTGATTACTTTATTCTCTTTCTGCTCATTATTAATGTTTTTGTTCCTATTTCTCCCATGCATCATAACCCCTTGTCTTAATGGCTTTACTGCCATGCATGGGGTGATATCAATTTAAAAAATAAAAAAAAGAAATAGATTATAGTTTTTGTTTTGGAAAGGTTTATCTTGAGTCGTATTTGTTGGAAGACACATGAAATTAAGAAAGAAATTCTATCCTGATTCAAACATCTGAGAGATAAGTGGGCAAGTGATATATGCACTATTTTAACATTCTACCTCTTGAATTAGGATAATGAAACCGTCACTGACTGAATCCGATTTTCTATTTTTGATTTGGGGTTGTACATCTCTACAACTTTGGAAATCCATTTCCTTTTTAGATGTTTATTTGATTGCAGCTGAGAATTTTTATTTTATTTTTCTCTTCTGTTGCAGGCAATGGCCATTCAAGCGTTGCCACAAAATTCTTGTCATGCTTTGAATAACCTTGGACAACTTGTTGATGATATTTGGTACTATGCTGGCGATAAATCTACAGATGTAAGTTAAACATCACTAAATTCACGTGCATATTCGAATATGGGTATGCTTACACATGTGAATATGTCGTATTCCACTGTTGTATTGTAAGTGTAAAAAACTTTACCGCTGTCGAGGTTCCTCATTGCCAATGTCTCTTTGTTGGGAGTGTTGTGGATTCTCGGTAAGTGGCTCTCCTGAGAACTAAGAACTACTCTGTGGGTTTCTTTATATATTGTCCTACTAGCCACCTCCTGTGACTATTACTGGAATAGTTCACTGAGCTAGGGGTTGGACCATGGCGTTCTATATTAACAGGCCTCTGCGTAGCGCTGCTACCTCGATAGACTGGAGACCGGCTGACAATTAGATCGTTTTAGTTTCAGTTTGAGCAAACTGCTGCGTGCTGTGTACTCTTATGTTGTTGGCTCGAGAAATTCAAAGGAATCTTTTAATTTTACCTTTGGTTGGAATATCATTTAACTTATTTATTTGAAGTAAGTATATTTGATTATTTTAGTTTGAGTCTATACATTATTTATATTTAAATTGTAGAAAGTAAACTTTGGTGCTTAAATTTACTCAAGACAAAAAAAGATTTACTTAAGTTTAAAAAGCCTAAACATTTTAAATTAAAGTTTAATTCATTTTGGCATTTTCCAGAAAAAAGTTTGTTCAACATTTTTTGATTAAAATTTAAAGAATTATTTATTGATAAAATGCAATTCTTTTTGAGAAATTTGTGTTATTTTAAGAAGCAAAACAAAACAACGTTTAACAAATTTGAACAGAATTTAATTTAGTTTCTTCAAAGACGTAAAGAAAACTATTTTTATTATAAGATGAATTCAATGTCATTACTTAATTTGATATTTATTTTTGATATCGCTAAAAAAAACATTGTTATGAGTGAAAACATAACATCAACAAAATTAAAGTTTAATTTTCTCAAGTTTTTAATCATGATAAAAAATTAGCATAAGTCAACATTTTTCTATTAAAAGTTTAAGTTTGAATAATAAATTTGAATAAAATTTTAATAGAGAAAGGTCTCCTTTTTTACGCCTTTTTAACTTCAAAATTTATTTTACAAGACAAGTATAATAATACCATTTTATTTATCATATTTATTTTAATAATTTTCTGATATTGTTGTTAAAGGACAAAATGCATTATTTTTACTTTACTTTTAATTGTTTTGCTTTAAGGTAAAAAAAAGTTATATATATTCCTATTTAGTTTAAAGTGTATTAAAATAACCAAACTAAAGGAAAGGCTACTTATGAATGTTTTTAAATTTAATATAAAGTTTTAAAGTAAACAACATTGGCCTTCAAATTTTGATACCATAAAAGTTAATGGAAAAATACATCAAAAAAATCCACCATCTGTATGGCTAGGTGTGCCAAGTAGTCAAATACCAACACCCTCAGCTGTTCAAAGGAATATAAAAAAAACCTCCAGTACTGTTAGAAATCAAATTGCTGATGAACTTAATGCTTTTTTAGAATTAGATAAAATCATACAAATTTGAAAGAAAGTCTACTTAACAACAAAAAAGACTTTATATGTCCAGTTGTAGCATTTTTGGATGAAAATATTTTAACTGTTCAATTATCAAAATTTATTGATGGTATTCCTCTCTTTATGTTGAAAATTTATAACAATTTGCGCTTTGAAACATTTCATTATGGAGTTAAGTGTTATATTAGCAGCATGTCCAAAAATCATATAAATACAGTTGATACTTGGTCAAAACTGGAAGAAATCATCCGATATTTAAATTCTATTGATCACAAGAAAAATATCCTGAGTCAACAATTTTTAGCAATGGCTCCCAAAATGGTTGGAATAAAATACAGCTCAGATATAGTTGTGCATGCTTTTGGGTACTATGCAAGATCACAGACATTGTATAATGAATTAAGATATGATTTTCAATTACCCTCATTAGCAACATTATGAAGAATGACGTCAAAAGTTTCAAAACTTAATGAAAAATCTTTTTTGTTATCTATATTTAATACTCTTAATACCAGTCAAAAAGGGTGCATAATTCTCCATGATGAAGTATATATCAAAAAGATGTTGCTATATCATGGCAAACAACTATTTGGTAAATCAGTTGACAATCCATCTGTACTTGGTATAATGTTGATATGTCTCAATGGGGGTCCAAATTTTCTTACAAAATTGATTCCAATTTCAAAATTAACATCCGCCTTTTTATTTGAACAAATTGAGTTAACAGTCCAAGCCATCACATCTGTACCAGCTGATGTAAAGGCTATTATATGTGATGGCAACCGCGTAAATCAAGCTTTTTTTAAATTATATCCTACACTTCCTGAAAAACCTTGGTTAACTGAAGATAATAAACATTTGCTTTTTGATTATGTTCATCTGTTGAAAAATATTCGCAATTTGTGGCTGACAGAAAAAACGGGAGAACTAATCTTTGATGATGATGGAGTAAGTCGAGTTGCAAAATGGACACATCTTAAACAGTTATATCATTTTGAATCTGAAAGACTAGTCAAACTTTCAGATTTAAATGAAATTTCCATTGCTCCAAAGCCAATAGAAAGACAACGGGTTTCTACTTGCCTCAGAGTGTTTTCTGAAAAAACATAAAATGCACTTCTCACTCAGTCTGAAATAAGTGCAGGTAAGAATGATACTGCCCTCTTCATAAACAAGGTTTTGACATGGTGGAAAATTTTAAATGTTAAATACCTTCAAATTGATAAATTACATAATGATCCTCTACAAGCTGAAATCAAATCTCCAAATGACACCCGACTTGATTTTATCATTGAATTTGGTAAAATGGCTCAATATGGCTGGCAGTCAAGGTAATCGTAAAAAACAATTATCCCAAAACACTGCTACTGCCATACATAATATTTGTAATGGAATTGTTAGTCTGTCGACACCTTTTAGCTACAAGTCATAAATATGTACTACTTGGGCAATTTTCAACTGATCCATTAGAAAAAGAATTTGGTAAACTTCGCCAAGGATCAGGTGGCACCTATTTTATAAATGTTCAACAATGTATTAAAAAGCTGCATATTAAGCAGACATCTTTATTTTTAAATCAAAATGTAAATATTGATGAATTTGATGTTAATTCAGGTCACCAATGTACATCTTGTGATTATACACTTTGTGAGGAAGGTTCAGAAATATTTGACAATCTGGAAAATTTAGAACCATCTCTTTCCAATGAAATAAAAATGGCTCTTGTGTACATAGCTAGATATATTACAAGAAATGATAATCAACCCAGTGAATGTGAAACACATTTTTATTATGAAAAGTATGGAAAATATACCAATTTAATTGACCATGGAAAACTAAAAGTTCCTTCTGACCACATTTGTCAATGGTTATTTTTTTGTTTCATCCTTTTCCATACAATAAAGGAAAAGGGTTGCTATAAATCATTAAGTAACATTTTTATGCTTATTTCTGAGTTTCATTTTTTTCAACATGGAGAAAAAGCATGCTTCTATTTTTGCAAATATAGTTTTGAAAAAATTTTGCAAACATGGCACACCTAGATCAGAAAAAGAACCAGCTCTAAAAGTTTTGAAACTTTCCTAGAATGATTTTGTTTTATTTGTCTATATTTCTGTGATGATTGTTATATACACACTTCGGCTGATGTCTTCCAGCCTTCTTGGGTTCTGTTTGTCAAACTCAGTAAATGTAATGTAAATTTAAACCACAGTCTTTATTCACTCACAGGGAATATATTGAATAAAGGATTTAGTGACACCTGTAAATAATATAAATTTCTGATTTCAATATATCTTTTACCAGAAATCATAATTACCCCTTTGTGTTGTTTAATAATTATCAGTGTTCATAGCAAAAATACATATTTTCATTCATTTATTTATCTTTCAACACATCCTATTATCCTCAGATGTGAATAAAAATGTTATTCTAAGTATTTCATAAAGTGGTTGACTTCATTTTCTTCTAAAATTTCTGAAAATCCTACATTTTTCAATAGGCCTCCAGTTCTGGCTCTCAGTTGCGCCATGACTTGGCCTGGAGTATAGAACGCCATGGGTGGGACCCAGCAGAATAGAAATATTAAGAATTTTATTTTGCACCAATCATCAAAAATGAAATGGACCTGCCTGTTTTAAATAACAACTTTCAAAATCATGTCTTACCAGGACACAACCCCTGGCAAAAAAACCTAGATAGAAATATACAATGAAATAAATAAAATTAGCAGACATGAGCTTCAAAAGATCTTAACAAAAGATGTACTTTCCTTCATAAGGGTAATTGAGCCTTGCTTTGCCATGAAAATCCTTTGTGGCTGAGCATTATTAAAAGTATACCAAGCTATATGTTGTTTTTTTTTTTCAGCATAAGTGGGACATGGGTTCAAACCCTGCAGAAGGGCACATTTTCTTTATTAAACCCAGGCTGGTAGGTGACAATTATTTAAAAACAAAACAAATGTCTACTCAGACATGTGTATCTGCTTAATATAATGTTTCTAGTAATAATATACACACTGTGTCATTTTATTATGGAAGTTAATGTTTTCTCAATAAAATAATTATTTACCAACCTACACTGGTAAGATTTTTAGGATATCAACAATAATGTGAGCTTCAGCTTTTAATATTTTATAAAAATTATGAAAAATATTTGAGTTGTTTCTTGGATGGGGCATAAATTATACAATAAAACCTGTAAGCCATACAAACATATATTTGATGAAAACAATATCTCATATATTTAAATAAATTATTTTATTATATGTTAAAATGGGCTCCTTGACATTCTATAATCTTCATCATTCTTTCAGCCATTGACTTTGTAAACTTTTCTAATGTTTCAACTTTAACACACAATAGTTTTTCGTGCTTTTCATAAGTCTTCTTTGCTTTAATACTGTTTTCTTTTCTCATATACATCTCTTTTTAATGATAGACAACTTTTCTCTATTAGATTAATATCTGGAAAGTAAAAACCATTCCATTAATTTGGTGTCTTTGGAACCTTTTTTTCCTGCAAAGTGGGCAATAGTCAACTTTTCAGAATATGAAGAAGTACCATCTTGAATTAATATAGTCTTTAGTTTAAAGCTTTATGATTATGATCACTACCATACATTTTCAACACCACCATCAATTTTGAAGGAGGCCAACACTTTTACCAACAACAATAAGAGACTAAAACTTTACCTTCTCACTGTTGATTTTAATTCATCTTTGTTGACTATTTCCATGAAGGATCTAACTATCATGTGCGTCAAATGTTAATTAAAAAAAAAAGATATTATAAACTGAAATGCACAAGGTGTTTATATTTTGTGCCTAAACAAAAAATGCATCATAGAATTTGTTATTATGAAGTCCCTCATAATTAACTCTTAATTATCAATCATAAATAGCTGATAAAATTGTTCTTGTATTATAATCCATTTGGTGGTATTTTTAAAATTAAGAATAAATTTTAAAAAATAATAAATAATCGTTAGTGTGCCATGTCCTACCATGAGGGTATATTTTCAGCTTTAGGCTCATCATGTTTGAAACTTTCATTTGAAAGTTAGAAACTATATTTATTAAATCTCTGCAGCCTTCTCTTTGTAAACAGGAGGAATGGTTGTTTGGTCTTAATCTGAACTGTTTATAATATATATTCATATATTGGCACATTATTAATATATGTGTATATCTTATCCTTATTCAGAATATTCCTCCCCCATTAGCTTTATTTCCTCGATTGAACTCTGAAGAGAGAGGAACAAAAACTGGTCAGCTGTTTTTGTTTTTCAAATTATCATTCATGGTAATTGTACCTTTTCCTTTTTTGTTTTTCTCTCACTTCCATAAAATAAGTCTGTTTTAATAGCAACAATAAAAGGTTGTATCCCTAGAAAAAAATTTTAAAAGAAAAGCAGATGTAAACTTTAATAAACCTAACTATATTGAAAAGTAAATATATACAATGTGGAACACTTGCAATCTAATTTTGCACAATAAATTAGTTCCTTGCTAAGATCAAAGCTAATATCTAATTGTTGTTTTGCTGCTCGGTATTGTCATAATTTCTTTCTTTTCTTATTCATAATTGAATAAAATTCATCTTTTTATTGTTTTCTTATTTTGTCATCTAGTTTAACTGGTACTCAAAACGTTTACTTCTTGCTGGCGTCTATAAATCTACAGAGATCTTCATGCTGCAGGACAAGTCAGAAGATTTCCAAAACACCTGGATATTTTTGGACAGTAGGTTCGATAATGTAGAATTCTTTGGCAAAAATGTGAAAAAGGTAATATAATTTTTAAGTGCTTTCAAAAACCATGATTTTGTTTTTATGATTATACTCATTTTAATGAAAATTGTATCTCATAATGTAATGACATTAATTTCCTCTCAAATCCTCAAATGCTTTAATTACCTTAGTTATTTTTTATAGTATTATGTATTTAAATATATTGAAGGATAAAACATAACAAAATTTTCTTTTAATTTTTGGTCTTGAAAGTTTAGGTAAAATTTGTTTTCATAAGTTAAAAAAATAAGCATATTTCACTGATCCAGTGCAAAAGGTTGAGATGTGATTTTTTTTTTTCACTTCATATTCAAATAAGTCTTAAAATTGGGAAAGTCAATTTGTTTGATCAAAATATATTTAATAAATCTTAAGTTTACATGTAAAAATTATTGAGTAATAAAATAATACAATAGCATATTTTTCAAATCTTATTAATAAGTGACAGAAAATGGCTTCTGGTATTAATTTACTCTCATAACTAGTTAATGAAGCCAGAAAGTTAATGTTGATAATAATAACACTTTTTCTTTTCTTTTTTTTTTTTTTTTCTTTTTTTATTGTGACCTGCAGAATTTTTATTTTATTCATTGTTATAATCTTTCAAAAAAAAAAAAGTAATTAATTGCTGGAAGAATTGATAGAAGATGAGTAGATCTGCCACAATACATCATACTGTATTCCGGTGAGGTGAATTGTGCCTGAAAGCCAAAAGTATAAGGATTTCTTTACACACACACACATATATATATATATATATATATATATATGAGGGAGGGATTATAGTGGTTCCAATGAGAGAAAAGAGTATATTTTAAAGAGAAGCTGCAAACATTTTTGGTTATAATGTGGATATTTTTAAATATATATTATACTTTATTTTCCATATTTTTTGCTACACAAGTTTTAGGCCTGTTTTTCCTTATGTTTTCTCATGTTTAACCATTGTCTTTGTGTGTAGTAGTAATCCAGATTATTCTTGGACATGTGGAGAAAATGTTCTTCTGCTTAAGAGGTAATAAAACAATTAGGGTTGGGGGAAGAAGGGAGGTCTTTGTTCTTATGACCTCTGTATCTTATTTCCTATCTCCCATTTTTGTGTATTGTGTGTGTTCTTGCTAGTATGTTTATACACATTCCTCCTCCTACATATATATTGTTTTATTACAAGGAAATAGTGTGTGTGTTTATATATATATATATATATATATACACACACACACTCTTTGTATGGTGTGTAAGGTTTGTATGTCTGGTCCATCTGGTGTGTTTGTTTTTTGCCAATATTTATGTATATATTTATTCTTTATATATATTTGTATGTGGGGGTCAGACTAGTGTGTTCAGCCACTGTGTGTATGTATATATATATATATATATATATATATATATATATATATGGGGGTATAATTTGTTCAGTGTTGGTTTAAATTTGTATATGAAGTTTTTCTTGTATTTGTAGGTAAGAATAATTGTCTATTTGATATATTGGCATAATTTTAAATTTACCTTCATTGCATTTGCAGATGTGTTGTGACACAGAGTTTCCTGTTGTCTGGTGAAGGGAAACTCTGTTTAGTGCTTGAGTGATACCTATATAGGACTTGTTGCATTTTGTGCACTTATGTGCATAAATCACATTTTTGGAGTTGCAGTTTAAATTTTATTTAATTGTGAATGTCGTTATGAGTTTTTCAAAAATGTAGGAGTTTCCTTCTATAATGATATCACAAACCCCACATCTTTTTTGTTGCATTTTGTGACCCCCTGTATTTTGTGTTGGCTAAATGTGGATGAGGTTAATATGTGTTTTAGGTTTCTTTGATTGGCATCTGCTTTTAATTATTTTGGTTGTTTTTAGTATATTTTTCATTTTATCATTCTGTAAATAGTTCTGGATTGTTCTTGTATGTTGAGACATATGCTAGAGTTTGTTCAACGTTACATTTCTTTGGATTTCGTAGTTGGTCTCAAGGTATTTTTTCTATTAGTTCAAAACATTTGTTTATTAATGTTGTAGGGTAGCCTTGTTTTTTTTTAAAGCTTTATGTAATACTTCTAGGCAAATTTTTTGAAGGTGTTTGTCGGCCACTATAGTGCAAACCCTATATGCTAGGGAATAGGGGATTGATTTTAGACAAATTTTTGGGTGACAGCAATTGAAATGAAGATTCTGTGGTAGATATGTGATAATGTGGTTGTTTTTATTTCTGATGAGTATATCTAAGAATGGCAGTTCATTAAAATTATGTTCTTGGGTTAATTTGATCTTCAGGTGTAAGTTTTGTAGTCAATTATGTAATTGGTTAATATCACCCCATGAGGATTTACAGAAAATGAAGCAATCATTTAAGTATCGCTTCCAAGATTTAGTGAAGTGTGATTTTATATTTTCCCCATATATTTGCTCTCTCTTTTCATAGAGGTTTTCCTCTAGGTAAGCTAATGTTAGGGTGTTATATGTTGGTACCATTTTCATTTCCATCATGGTACCTAAGATTTGGATATAGTTTTTGTTGTCAAACTCAAAAGAGTTGTTATTCTGTTACTTATATTAAGCTCTCTTTAGATTAATGTCCTCCTTGGAATTATCCCTATCAATTGGTATATATATATATATATATATATATATATATATATATATATATATATATATATATATATATATATATATAGGGATGTTTTTAATTTCGATTACAGTTAGCACGTTGTGGCTTTGTTAAGTAGTTAATATTGTTAAGAGTTGGCTTTTTCTTTTTTATTATTAAAGCTTCCATTATTTTTAGACTTTTTTTGCAGGTGGATGCAGTTAATATATTTGTGTTTTCTACTAGTATGTTTCCAATGGAATCAAGTAAATCTGTGTGTGTGTTTAAATGGGTTCTAATGGAGCTGTGATCAGATAGGTGTAACATAAGACATCTGGATAAGCATGTGGTTGTGTAGATGATGTAATTATTTATGAGTCCGGTTTGATCAGGAACACAGTTCCTTAAGGGCATTGAACTCATAAATAATGTTTCGTTCTTTGTAATTTTGACTTAGTTGGTGTGTTGTTATTTTTGAGGATAAGGTTGGCTGTCTTAAATTTTTTATAATTTTTTATATATATATATATATATAACATGCACACACAAACATATATATATATATATATATATCCCAACAAGTTTGATTAAAAATAACTGATATGATCTGTCTGTTTAATTTTTTTTCATATTTTTCCAATCTTTGAATAAGGTGTTGAGTATTGTGTTTGAAGTTCTGGATAAACTGTCCAAAGTTCATATTTTGTTATTGTTTTGGTTTCTGATCCATTTGAGTTGATTAATCATTAGATCTTTAGGCATTTAGTGATAATTTTTTGTGATCTGAGATACTCAATGGAAAATGATGTATACAAGAAAGAAAATTTCATGTCTTAAATGAAAGCAAACTTAATAGTTTAATCAATAGAAATTTGGCTTACAGCCATATCTCATTGAAACACCAGTTCTCATCCAATCACTGAAGTTAAGCAACATTGAGCCTGATCAGTACCTAAAATAGGAATTACTTGAGAATCACTCAATAGATTGAAAATTGCTTGAAAATAAATGCTATGGGATATATTGATTGATTGATCTGTTTTCTACTGCTTATCAACCTTTTGTAGGTTATTTAAAGCCAGAAAATACTTTTAGATTGTAAGAGATTTGTGGAGATAATAATGATTTAGGGATACAAGTCTTACTAATTAACCCATAGCTGAGAGGAGTTGAGGTGGATTCATCCCTTTCCCAAGAGTATTTGCGTGTAAGTGAATATAACAAACCTGATTGGAATTGTAACCCAGCTCTTCAATTAAGAATTCCAAGTCATTATCCACTACATCACCTGCACTCGACATTGCTTAACTTTGGTGATCATATGGGAACCAATGTTACAGCATGATATGGCCACAATGCAATATAAATTTCTTTTCTAGAATTATTAACACTTATATACTTACTACTGTTTGTCTGTTACATGATATCCCTAAAAATCAGAGAATTTTTCAGGGGAATTGTCAGAATTTTATTCAATGATTAGGCTAGGAAACATGTCCTATGACTTTGTCTTATCATATTTTCATCTACTTGCAGTGTAAAAAAACAACAAAGGCTGTGGGTGAAAATCTTTGGGGTATGTTCTTAATGGTAAGTATGTAGGCCCTCTATCAAGGTTGACAGTAGGTGTAGCAACTTTTTACATTTATTAGTGCCTGAATACATTTTGAATATATTGATAACTGTTTTGATTATTCCTGTTTTCTGGCTGTTGCTAGTGCTGTTTGTTATATATTTTTACCTTTCGTTTGTTTGCCCATTTTGGCTCATGGTTAATAATAATAATAATAATAAATAAAGTATTCTATTCTCTGTCAGCCATCTATAAACAAGATATTTTTAGATGTAACCAAACACCGAGCTATAGATTCTCATCTCCCCCAATGATATTAAGGTCAAAATGTCATAAGTAACTTCAGTTAAAATTTAAATTTGGTTTGTCAATTCTGTTTTCCATATTTATAATTGTTATGCAAGCAACAGTACACAATTTTGTTTGTTTTGTTTTTGTTTTTTATAAGCAATTTCTGATTTTGACCAGTACTCAGGTTGCTTAAATTTTGTGAAAGAATTAATACTCAAGTTGTATAAATGGTTGCTTAAATTTTTTATGTTTAGGTCTAATAAATAGAAAAGAAAGACATTTCAGTAAACCTGAACCTTCATGCCTGCAAAAAAATGTAGTGACAAAGGATGGATTATTTTTTTTTCCTTGGCAATGTTTATTGTTTTAAATAGCTATGAATAGAATTATTTTAAAAACTAAACATATGATACAGTATTTACATTAATTAGGACTATTGTCCTAGATCATCATATTTGTCCTGGCGTTTGGCCGTTGAACCTTCTTCAGGTGGTTGGAATTTGAACTGAACCAGATTTATTTCGACCGCTGGGGTAGACTGTTTCCTAATTAAGGCGTGCCATGTTCAGATGGATGTCAGTTATCAGTTATCTCCTGCTAATTGACCTCTGAAAGTTTGAAACTGGCACTTAACCAGGAACAGACCACCTCACCTTCTTTTTTATCAAACTCGAAAGCTAACTGTGAAGAATAGATCCACTGTGCCATGAAGAAGGCCGAACAAAAATATATGACAATATGAGGAAAAAGGAATTTATACAGAAATATAGACAAACTCTAAACATATGATGAAAGGGAATTTATACATATTTTTATTCTTGAGAGTTGACAACAAAAATATTTATGAGATTGTTTATTTACAAGAATAATTTTATATTTACAACATTCTAAAACCTAATACAATTAAAACTAATGCAATGCAATATTTATCATTTACCAATTTATAAAGAAATAGATCTGAAAATAAATTTTTATTCATAAATTTATAAACATTTACTAAATTATTAAAATATGTAACACAAACTATAAGGAAATCTTTATTATTTACCATTTTATCAAGTTCAAATTAATGTTTTGCCAACCATTCCAATAAACAATCTAATAAATAGTGTTTATTATTTTTGTTGTCAATTCTTAAAAACAAAGAAAATGTATAAATTCACTTTCATATGTTTAGGTTTTATTACAATTGTAATCATCACTTTTTAAAACAGTAAATTTTGCTGAGGAGTGAAGGTAGTTAAAATTAAAACGGCACCAATAGAAAAACTGTCCTTTTGTCACTCCATTTTTTGGTATGCAGGAAGGTCCAAGTTTGCCGACATTTCAATGTAACTCAACTAGTAGAAGTCATAGAGTTGTTCAATGCAGTATAAAATAACATATTAACTCTTTAAATTTTTTTTTCCTCAGCTCCTTAAGCCACACTGATGTCGGTAGTGGTGTTGCTTAAGATTTGGTCAAATTTGTGTACAGTTGTCTATAAACAAAAATTAGTATTATCTATTTTTTTTTTATTATTAGCTGAAGCATTACCAACTTTTATTTATACAGGGTGCAGCAGAAATACTTTCCACATAATGGTAAGACATTAGCTCGATGATGACACCATTGCCACTAATCTCTTACCATTATGTGGGAGGTATTTCTGCTGCACCCTGTATATTAATTTTAAGCAATATTTCATCTTGATCTTTTAGTTGCATTTTATTGCCACTTGGTTCAATCTATAGCAGTAAGTAAACAGTGTGGATAAGAGATAAAGGGGCAAGCATTCAGTTGGATTTGAACTTAAGTTCCTTTTGTCTCAGAGAAGCTTATTTGAATGCACCAGATGCTGCTCTGCTTGAATTACAAGAGCCCAACAGCTTTTATGACTTATGATCTAACCTTTTGAACTCCTCCTTCACTCCATGATCACTCTCAACACTGTTTGCTTTTTATGCTAATGGTATTTAATATCAATTAAATAGCAGGGTAAACTCTGTTCTCTAGCCTTGGTTGGTGGAGAAAAAAAAATTAAAAACCTCAGGAAAAAGGCAACATGAATCCACTTTTAGCAATACACAATTTACGGATCTAAAAGAAAAAGTAGTAGTAGAAAGCTATGATTGCTTACATCCTGAAAGGACATGGCACTTAAGAACAAGAAGTATTTAAATGACATTGAGCTACTCTTAAAGCTTATAATGAAAGACTTGATGTTAAGTGGTTATTTGACTAAATCTGCTGTACATGGGGAATGCCTTTAAAAGTTAAAAAGAACACAAGGTTTGAACAGAATATGAAGTAAATCCATTTGATTTACTTCCCTTGAAATTTAAATATTTTTCTTGGGAAGTGGGAAAGTAGATAATATTTAGGGGTGGGGGACCTAACTCACTTTGATTTTCATAATTCATCAGTGTGATGGTAAAAGGGTGTAAGTGCATTTTTGTGAAATGAGAAAACACCTTTTAAAGATGAAAAGAAAATTGGATTAAAAATCCATGATATTGACTATGTCATAGAGATTAGTTTGCTCATTTCATAAAGGAAAGACATGCAAAAAGTGTATATCCTTTTTAGAATTACATTGACAAGTTGTGTACAATATCTTTTGTTTTTTTTTAAAAAAAAGCAAAAGATAATCAAGTACTTACACAATCACTTGATTTATGTCTGTCTTTACTAACATTAAATATCTACTTAATATAATTAGCTAAAGATTAGTCTTAGTGAAAATCTCTCCCTATTTGTCTGTTCAACTGCACCAGAGAGGCTAGTGTTTATAATTGTATCATTTATGCAGATTTATATTATGAGAATGTACAAATATTGTGTGAAAATACTAAATTATCTTGAATTGGTTCAAACTAAGTTTTTCATCCCTTTTGGCTTAATCACTGTTTTATTTTATTTGTTTGTTAGTTTTCCTCAGATAGCATATATATATATATATATATATATATATATGCTATGTAGATATTAGCTTAGTATGGCTTAAGGCCACAGAAGTAGAGCACTATACTAACAATAACCAGGAAATTCAGCTTACCTATCATCAGTATATAGCATATACCTGTGCTTATCATTAGAAATGATTCATAATGAAATAATTGATAAGAAATCTTTTTATCAGTGTATAGCGATGGAGTTGTGCTCCCTGGACAAAAGATCTCCAGGAATTAGACTCACTTTATTTGTATCAGATTTTAGCCAAAGATGAGATCTATGACTGACCTTAGCCAAATGGCTAGGGTGCAATGTCCCCCAACTATTATTGGTTTGATGATAACAATCTAGTTGGTGAATTCAGGGGTCTTCTTTGGGTGTATGTTGCTTCTGGTAATCCGACTTAGAATTTTTTAACTTTCTTTATGTATATTTTGGACAGTTCACAGATTCAAGAAGCAGATTTCTACTATACTTATTTTTTTTTTTTTTTTTTTTTTACAATTAAATGAAGCCTAAATCTTATTGATTTTGATCTGCAAATTTTCAAAATTATAAATTGCAGCTGGATAAAGGATTCTATTCAGATCTCTTTAAAGATTATTAGAGGCTGAAGAACAGAATCAAAATTACCAAATAATCATACTTTGCTATATAGCATTTAAAACAGATTTCAAAATTAATTTTAAGAAAACTCATTGAAATAAAGTCTTAACCTTTAGCACTCTGCTATAAGTATTTTATCCTCATCCATTATGCATAAATGGCCACACAACTGCAGTAGCATCATCTTCAATTTTCTGTGTCATTTTCCTGTTGCCATAGTAGGATATGACAACACTAGCACAAAATTCAACCACACTATTTTATGATGATCAAAGTTGCATGCAGTGGTTGTACAAACATTTTGTTTGACAAATGAAGGCAGCTATGTACAGCATACTAGGTAAATGAACTTAATTACACAAATATCTGTTTATTAAAAATAAATAAATAACCTGTTTATTAAAAAGTTACTAAAAATCTATCAAAAAATAAATAAATCTATTTATTAATTTTTTTTTAAATTCATTTATTAAAAAATAAATAAAAAAACCTGTTTATTTAAAATATATAATCCATTTAATAAATATAAATAAAAATCTGTTTATTAAAAAAATAAAAGGGCATTAAATGCAAATAAACTGGTTTCTTCTTAATGTGTTCTTGTGTTTTCAGGTACAGAATATACTTGGTGTGAACAGTCGAGTCAGATAGACCAATACAGTAGTAGCCTGGTTGTTGTTGCCTGTAGAAATTGTCACTATTTACCCAAATTACTGTCTGGACTAAGATTCTACAAATGTGTCTTTCTGCTTATTAATAAAACATTGTTACAATAATTTGTTGTTTTTCTTTACAAATAGACTCAGCTCCTCAATGTTCAGGTAAGACATAGATGTCCCCAGATTTTTGTAAAATTAATTTTCATGTAGTCCTTATTAAATTTTGTAATGTGTGCATACACACACATGCACATATAAGTGCTTTCATTTGTTTAAATCAATTACGGGTCAAAGTTTACTCCAAAATTGACCAGGCATAGCAGATTTCAAAAAGTACTCAATACCTAATCCATAAAGCCTTATTAAGAAAGTTTATCTTAAAAAGATGTAATTACCTCATGATGCGACTGCAACTTCACCTCTCAGATCTTCAGGCTTGTTTGGTTTTATTTATTTATATATATATATATATATATATATATATATATATATATATATATATATATATACCCACACATATATGTATATGTATTTATATACACACACATATATATGTATTTATATATGTATTTATATACACACACACACACACACACACACATATATATATATATATATATATATATATATATATATATATATATATATATATATAAAATAATTCCAAGAGGATAGAATCCAGGTAGAAATCAATGTCTATTGTGTGTGTATGTCATCACAAAATGTATACTCTTTTCCGGTAAATCTTTAATGTATTAGACATCCGAGAATATTCATATTTCTCTTACTTAAACCGTCTTTGACTCCCCTCTTTAAAACTTCTCTCTGTTAAATTTTAATTCCCCCCTTCGTCTTTAGACATTCCTGTTCTCTTGTCTGTTGCCCCTCCCTATAGCTTTCATTTACTCTAACATTCGTCCCACACTCTCATACATACACTCTCACTAAATTTTATTTTTTATTCCTGGAATTGTTTTTACTGTTTTCTTTTTGAATTTGTAGGTCTGATGAATTGGATCATATTTACGATTCTAATGGAATAAATTATGATCATGGAACATTAGTGTTTAAGCCTTTTTATTATATATATATATATATATTTATATTTATCACTTTAAACATTATTTTTAGTGGATACTCATTTTTGAGTAGACACTCCATTTATTTATTAAACACTATGCTTGTTTTTGTCTGCCAGTCTCCAGTAAATATACTGTTTAATAAATAAACAGTGTCTTGCTTAGTTACAAATATCCATTAAAAATAACATTTAGCATGATAAAACCTGTTGGATTAATAAATAAAAATAATCATTACTTTAGAAAATTGCTTTGTTTACATTTGGATATGTAACTGAGCAGATATGAAAAATTTGGTGAGTTTACTACAAAGAGAATCTGATTGGCTAAGTTCTTCATAGCTCAGTTCGTCCAGAGCACATTGGATTTAATGACGGTTACCTCTGCCCAGGAGGACGCAGGTTTGAATTCTGCAGGAGAGTGTATATTTGTCTTTAATAAGATTTCTTGATTATTCAGGATTGTAGATGAAATAAATAAATATACTGTCTAAAAAAACAAGCAGGGCTTCTACTCAAATACAAGTATCCACTAAAAATAACATTTAAATTGATAAAATCTGTTGGATTAATAAAAAAAATTCTTTATAAAAATTGATATATGAAGGAGAGGAGATGCTAAAATTTTAATCTTTCAAATTTAATTTTCTTTTTAAATATGTGATTAGGTATATTCTAGCCAATTTCATTTAGTTTTTGTTCTGGCATATAAAAATTTATATATCTTTCTCATATATATATATATGTGTGTGTGTGTGTGTGGTATTTAGTAGAAAGTGCTAAATATCTGATAGAGCTAATATATGCAGTTGCATGGAGAGCTGTTTGTGACCTTAGGTTTTACACTTTCACAATCTTCAGGCAAATTAGTTTATTTTTTCAAAAGTGGATCTATTTATGCCTTTTTTCTGTTTGTTTCCTAAGTTGATATATCCTACACAGGTTGAGCACTCCCACTGTACTTACACATGGATAAGATCAACTTAGGAAACGAACAGAAATAAGGAGGCATAAATAGATCAACTTTTAAAAAAATAAAACGGTTTGTCTCAAGATTGCAAAAGCATGAAACCTAAGGTCACAAACAACTCTCCATGCAACTGCATATATATATATATATATATATATATATATTTTTCGAAAGGTGTAGGTCATAACATTTTTGATGAACACAATATTCCATATACTTGAATAAATTATATGTCATTAATATTGTCTCCTTGATATTCTATAACTTCTATCTATTGATTTTTATTAACATTTCTACTGTTTCAACGTTTTTTGTTTCCCAGAAATCTTATTTGCTTGAATATTATTTTCCATTCTCATATAAATCTCATAATGATGATCCACTATTTTTCTATTGGATCAATATCTGGAAAAGCTGGGGCCATTCTATTAATTTGATGTCTTTTAAACCTTTTTCTTTTGCAGTAGTCAACTTTGCAGAATTGTCTTCTATTAATTTACTCTTTAACTGAAGCTTCTTAGCTATAACTTGTACCACAAAAAAGAATGTCTTGTCCAAGAATTTAGAATAATTCTATGCACTTATCTTGACAGTCATCACCTTTGAAGGAGCCCACAATTTTACTGCTCACAATACAACAAAACATTCCATCTATCCATTGTTGTCTTATAAGTGATATGGATTAACTATTCTCATGAATTGCCCAACCATTAGCAAAGTCAGTACAGTTGTAAATTCATCACTAAAAAATGACACCTTTACTATTGTGACATTTGTTTAAAGTTGGTAGTTTGCCTGCTTTAATATCTTTAGTCAGTGTTCTTAATATTTTGCATCTTTTTTCCTTCTATTTGCATTTGAAACACAATCTTGTTCAAATATTTTATTGCTGAGTATTTCATTTTTTGTACTTATTACCCTTTTTAAGTTTTCAAATCTCTTTTTATGATATTCTCAAATTTCTTTTCTTGTTCTTATCTTTTTTATCTTGTTGGTCTTTTCAAATTTCTTCTTTCATTGTTCTCTTATCTCTGTTTAACTATCTTGCAGTTTTCAACATTTATTTATTAACAATTGTTGAGTTGGATAATAAAATCTCACAAACCTTGAATTACATAATAAAAATTTCACAGTATCAAATTTATTGTAAATATTTCTATTTTGTATGAATACATCCTGAAACTTTTACCAAAATAAGCTAATAACAACTTTATTGTGAAAACGTTGGCTTGTATCATAAAATTTGACATTGTGTGTATGAGTTGGGATAAAATATAAATGTGGATCGAAATCCTACAGAATAATAAGATGAACATTTCCTATTTGTTCTTTATCATATATATATATATATATATGTGTGTGTGTCTATATATTTAGGCAGCACTCCTTCTTTCATGCACATTTCATTGAATATGACAGACAAGGTACTTTGATTTAGTTTTTTATACAATTTCTCATGTGATCTAATAATTTTTTCTTTTCGGGTGATAAATTATATAAAAACTGTCCGATTGTTTTTTATCCGAGCACTTTCAGCTATACATTTAGCCATTTTCAAGGTTGAAATATATTAACGGTTAACAAGAAATAGATTGTTGTATGTATTTATACAATGTTTTCATTTTCAAAACACAGTCTAGATATTGTGTCCTTGTTCATAGTTGATATTATTGAGTGTTGTTTTTTTTGTTTTTATTAATAAGGCTTCCATTATTTTTAACCTTTTTTTTTTTTTTTTTTTTTTTTTGCATGTAGATGATGCTATTATATTTGTGTTATCAACAAGTATGATATGAATAGTGTCCGGTAGGTCTCCATGAATATTTAAATGAGACCTAATTGAGCTATGGTCAGAAAGGTGTAGTGTGAGCCTTCGTGTCAAACATTGTAGTATGGCCTATTATTTATGAATTTTGATTGATCAAGAACACAATTCCTTAATGGACATTTAAATTCGTAAATAATATTTGTCCTATTTAATTTTGTTCTAAGAGGTGAATTATTATTAACTATAAGGTTAGAGGTTTTAAATTTTTTGTAATAAATAATTTATCTAATTTTTTGCTATTGTTAACTGGTGTTGTGCATTTTTTATAATATTCTTAATAATTATATATCAGGATTGATTTGGAACCTTCAATAGGTAACCACAATGACACGTTTCTAGCATCATGGTACCGTAAATTAGAAGACTTCTCCAGGGAACTCATGCAGGATACCATGCAGTTCTGCCAGGAAAGCATAATGGCAACAACAGCAGAAATTAACCTGCTCGATGAGAAAATAAAAAAACAAACGGATACGGAAGAATATACCAACATAAAGAATGTCATAAAAGCTCACACAGACCAAACAGTGAGGGAACTACAAAAAACAAAAACTGAAAAACAAAGGAAATTAAAATGGAATATTTCCTCCAGACAGAGGAACAAAAAAGAAATGAAGCCAAACTCTGAAAAAAGTGAACGACCATACCCCAAAAGAAAACAACAAAACACCGCCACCACACAACCAATGCAAACACAAAACAGACCAAATAAATACACCAACAGACAACCACCAGCACCACAACCAACAATAACAACACCGCCACCATCAACGATAGCTAGAACCTCAAAACAAACACACACCCAAAACAAACCACTAACTTACGCGGACATCCTTAGGGTGCCGTACAGAAGAACCTAAAAGAAATCATAGGTAGTAACCACATTTCAGGGGACAAGGTAATCCGTAATAAACTAAGAACAAAAACAACAGGATTTTCCCAACCATGTAACAACAAAAGAAGTTTATGTTGCAACCATATTAAAAACACGAATTCATTCACTAGCTCAATCACTAAATCTACTTTCAAAATCTACTACGATTCTAACTAAAAGTCATAACATAGTGTGCATTCTAGGAGGTAAATTATGCCAGAAACAATATGTAGGAAAATATG